AACAGGTGGTTAGAAAATACTAATTTCTTCCACATACACTGGTCACATTTTTTGAGTTCACACAAGAAAGTACAATTATACTCTTGCAATGCCTTTGTGAGGAGGGTTTAAGTACCTTTTAATTCAAGTCTATTTCCTCCTCATACTGGGAAACTCAGTGAAGCCTGTTGAGCCCCAAGTGCATTTCAGAGCAACCCCAAGTCTTCTTCCTTCCATAGCAGAAAGCTTCAAGAGGCACATTTGTGCCATATCCAGTGGCCCAAATCTCACCACAAAGCTGGGGCTTACTAAAAGGCCAGTACAGGGCAGAGGATATTTCCAGGGGAATCAGCTCCTCCCTATTTAAAGGGTCCTTTGATCTAGAAGAGAAATCTAACAGGAATTTAGTACAGCTAATAGTCAAGCCTTTGATCTTCCCTTTGGAGTTTCACTGCTGTCTGGCAGCCTGAACCCCTACTTCCAGCAATAGGAGCCAGAGATTTCTCCCTAGCACTTTACAGTGAGCTTGCCACCTTCACAGATTGACCAGTGTTGCAAGGTTTTTGTTCCTATTCACTTAACTTTTGGGAAATTTCTCCCTTGAAACTTTTTCTTAGACAATAGACCTTCCTTTCAGTCTCTCTTTCATATCTCTGTCAAGATAGTTGATATTGCTACTGAGGTGGCAGACAGCCCACTGTAGCAAAGCACAGACTCTGGGGGATATTTGCCTTCTAAAAGAGATCCTACATTCTTTCCAGATCTGAATGGCTGTAAGTTAAAGGAGGGATATATCAAGACTTTGATGACAGATGCCAGAGTTAATCTCATATCCTATTTCTGCATCAAAATATTTGCTCTTAATTGAATTTAATGTGCAAATTAACACTGGAGGCACCCAGATTTCTAAATGGGTCATTGCAAGCCAACTTTACATCATGCTGAGAAGTCAGCATGCTTGAGGAGTATTGGAAAAAAAACCAAATATTTACTAAATATGATGAGTGAGAGAAAGGGGAAGTGTATTAAGGATGTTAAGGATATTAATCTGAACCTCTAAATGTGTTTGACATCCTCAGTACCTTAAATGGTGGATTAGATTACAAAGGCATCCAACAGCCTTGGTGTATTTGTCAGTATTTCCTTTCTCAATGTGGTTCCAGGATAGCAGTGTATCTTCACAGCTGCCAAAGATTACAAACTCCAAATAAACTTAAAGCAATAAGAAAAGTCTGGGCTTTGATTTCCCAGTCTTCCACAGTCCTGCAGAGCCTGCACACAGCCAGCACCACCACACAGACTGACACAAGCAATATCAAAAAGCCAACCAAGACGGTTTTCCCACATCTGACTCGGCCTTAAACTGGCCATAGAAACGGGATGTGTTCAGTACTTGTCCTCCTGACAAGCTCTCATCCTAGTCAGTCAGGCCTTGTGTAGTCCCTGGAGATGAACAGCACCCTCAGAGGTCCCCAGAAAGGCTGAGGCTGCTCATTAATTCCCTCCTGGTCCACACAGGGAATTGCAGGCTGATTGCAAGGAAATTGGCTGAATCTCAAAAAGATGACCTGGAAACTGCAGCAATCGCTCTCTCTACCCATTCTGCAGAGCCCTGCTGGTGGCACTGGATGTGTAGCCTGCTGATAGCATCTAGTCGCCATTCCTCTTTGCTCCTTGATGCACATGGTGGGAGCCAGCCAGCACAAATTCAGAAATGTCAAGTTTGGTATCATAAAGCTCCACTGACTCTCAATTTGTAGAGCATCATGATGAGGAGCACTTCCCACCAGGAGAATGTCATGAACTGCTGCATTCAGCAAATCAGACACAACTATTTCCTTTTCCAAGGATAAAATCTGGTCCCAGCAGTGAGGATTAATCCCCCAGACAACTATTAGCTTTTATTTTGGTTTAACAACTAGGATCAGCTAGAATGAGTTTCAAAACTGCTCTCCTTAAATGCTCAACTAAACCAGGGAGGAACAGGAGAGAGCACAAATCCCCAACAGCACTTATTTGAATAATCTTGCTGACAGATCTGTTCTTTTCTCAGAATTTTCAGTCTGCATAACAGATCACAATATGAAATCAGATACTGTCACTGGGCTCTGATAAATGGGGATGCAAGGACTAAATACTCCCTTTCCATATGAATAAATACTCCAATTCAAATGGCACCACTCGCATTGTTCATGCTGTCACCAAAATCCTGCAGGCAGCATCACAGCCTAGTAACTGAGCAGCACCCATCATTATTCACTTCATGAGCAGATATAGATTTTCAGCTCTCATTTACTGACAACATGTTCCTGACATTATTATCTCTTCTAAAAGCTTCTGCATGAGTTATAGCTACTGGATTCAAAAGGAAATTTTGCATCTCTGCCTCTGAATTACTGACAATATTTTCAATGTCTCTGAGACATTTAGGGAACAAATTTCCCTTTAATTTTAAGACTGCAAACAAAGGAAAAGCTATTACACTATTAGGCTAATTTTTGCAATGCTTTAATGACTGTCAGTTAAAATCCTACAACTTCCAGTCTGAATTTGCCAAGTTGCAAGTTCCATGTCAGTGGAGTTTATTAGATACTTTTCTGTTTGATCCAAACAGCAAAGTACATGCTTATGAGTTGTAGTTCCATCATTCATCCTTCTTCTGCACAAAGGCCCTAGTTACAGCCTTGCTAGCAGTAAAGGCATTTTCTTTTATTCTTTTTTTTTGTTGTTGTTGCTTTTATTCCTTTTTTCTTTTGCTTTTATTCTTACAGTTCTTTTCTTCACTGTCTCCGCCTCTAGAGTAGTCAAAAACCTTTATGGTGGAAGCTATCCTCATTTTAGGAAGGAATTCAATAGCAAGAGCTGGATCTGCAATGCTTGTCTACTTCCAGAGTGCACGTCTAGCTAACAGAGCACACGGACAATAAAACAGTGAGTATGCCAGAGACTGAGAATGTGATCGTGTGAAATAACCCAAAATGCAGTCCCTGCCTGACACTTACATTGCTTAACTGGTCTGCTCTGCTGCCCAGGGTGGAGAGCCAAGGCTGTAAGCCAGAAAACACACGAGTGAAGTCAGATCCAGGTGCTGCATGTACCCAGGGCCAGAGAAGCCAGTTTGTGGTTGCTTTGCAGCCACTGGGTGCTGACTTGGTTCCCCTCAAAATCATCTTCAATCATGCAGAGATGATTTACTTCTAAGGAGCAAGGGTGGTTCTTGACAATGAGGCTGGGAAGGCCAGATGGCTGGGAAAGTGCAGGTAAACACCAGAAACAGGTAAAAGGCACAGAGCTGGGCTGAAGGTGATGCTTCATGGTTGGGAATTTGGTGGCAATAAAGCCTTTAACTGCTGAGGACTCTGGCTGAGACCAAGCCAGAGAGGGATCAGCACTCTCATGAAGTTCCTCATTCACCTGTGCTGTCACTCCATCGTTGTTTCTGATGTGGATCCCAAGTGTTTTCTGTGCCACTCAGAGTCACTGCAGGATATTACTCTGCAGAGATGAACTCTGCTAAATAAAAGTGAAAATGTAATGAGGTTTAGAGACAAGAAGGGAGTGGAAGACACAAGGGGGGACATGGGGGTCTGGCCATGAGAGATCTTGATGAAGGGACAGGGATTAATTAACAACAGCACATTTAGTCTGTGTACCAAAGCCAAGACACTGAGTTCCCCAGGAGATCTCAACACAGAACAGTTCAGGGGCATTCAGAGCTCTTGGAAAAGGCCCATACCCAAAGCCCTGTTACAGCAGATAAACCCCAAGGAGCAGAGGGGTGGCTGTCACAACACCACAGGATCCCATCATCCCACATGGTGTGATTCTAGCTATTTGCTTTGGAAAGACAGGAGCAGTTAGGGATGTTAGGGATGTTACCAAAGGCAGCATGAGAAATTATTATCCTCTGCAGAACACAAGGCACTGCAGGTAATTACTGTCTGTGCAACCATAAGAATTTAGCTTGGAACAGAGAATATGGAAAATTGTAGTGTACCTTAAAAGACCATTTCTGCTGAGTCCATGATTGTTAGTATTAAGTAAAGTTATAAATTTCAGTCCATAATCTTGTCTTTAAAAGGTATTTCGTGCTCTGCAAGGAGGACCAGGACAGAGAGGACAGAGTCTCTTTTGTGATGAACCATCTGTCTCTGATGATATGCTTTTCTCCTTAGCTCTTTACAAAAGCTTGTTGGGGTGCATTGGGGTGGTAGTGATGGTGGTGAAGCTGGAATGGTTGGTGGGTTTTACCCTGTAAGAGTATAAGTTTCTATAAGATTAACTGCTGTTTTGGAGGAAGTCTTTTTCTCTCTTGGAACTGCCTCTTTTAAGAGCATGCATTAATTACTCCTCACGATTCTGTACCAGGAGGCAATGAGCAGGAACCTGCCAGAGCCCAGCAATGAAGCAGTAAACCCACCTGCAGACACCTCCTCCTCCTATCTTCCCTCTGAAAAGGTGTTAGAGCTTGAGCTTTTAAGCTTGGAAAAAAACTTCCAAAGTCAGAATGTGTGAGAGAGATGAAATGAGAGTTGAACAGAGAAAGGAAAACTGTATCTTCAAGTCTAAACATCCTGAGATTCCTACAATTTGTTAATTTCCCATTTATCATGGTCAAACACAAGTGAGATCTGCCACACAGATCATCCACAAATCTCTTGCCATCACAGAGAATATGTGCTGCTGATGAGAGACCCCCCAAGAAGGTTAAGTCAGGGTGGTATTTTCCTGTGAAAAAGTCAGAATAACTGCAGATAACTGCATTTGTGTTCACAGCATTCTGGAGACATCCAACACCATACAAATATTATAAATATACACAGAGAGGAAGATTAATGATGTGCGGGTGGGTTATAAACACAGATAAAGACGAGCTAGATGACAAGACAATTTGGTGAAACAGGACTCTAATTCTGCTGGAAGATGAATTGCAGCTACTGTGAAGCACCAACTTTCTTCAAATGCTTCAGGGATGTGTGTTTGAGGTCAGGTGGCCCTGACATTGGTAGGAAAATGAAATGGTATTTTTATACCATGGGTAAAAGGACTTTTAGGGCCAGAGGTCACCTGTTATTCCTCAGAGGAACTAGACCAGACAGCAATGTGTGTATACATTTAGTGGGTAACAAACTCTCACAACTTCCATAATATTTAAGCTGTTACCTGAACCCCAGATACTTGAGAAAGCTCCTTTGTACCAAATAAGGACAAGAGCTATGAGAGAGAATATTGATATTTGCCTGGATTATTAAGATATCCTCTTTCTAAACAATCCTGTTACTACTCTTGAAAGAACCACCTAAAAGTACAGCCGCTCTCCAGCTGAGGCCCCTGCTCCACAGGAACAAGAACTAGGGCGTTTCTGTCTAGAAGGAAAGGCTTTCAGGGAAGCAGCAGCAGCAGGGGGTGTGGAGCTGCCAGAGGTGCCCAGAGCTTCTGCACCGGCTCGGGAGCGGCTCAGGCTCCGTCCCTGCCCCGGCACGGCGGGCACAGGATGTGGCTGCTGGCTTCTGATGAGAAAGAGATGCTGGTTTGGGGAATTTTCCAGAGAAATGCCACAATGAACTGAGTTTTTTCTCTCTTTGACTCACTCTGAGGCAAGTTCAGATTAGCACTGGTGCCTGTAGGAAACCTAAGGCAAATCCAAATCCAAGCCCCGACCAATTGAAATACTGATATATTTCCATTTGTCACAGGCAGGGGGTATTAACCATCACTTCACATGAGACACAAGGCACTGGAAGAATAGAGCTCCCACCTCAGAGCACCAAGGAACACCAAGACAAGATGAATTTTAACACCTGTGGAGAGAGATTGCATCTTCTTGCAACAAGAAAATTCCTGTTGTGTTTTACTTATGATGTCTTCATGCATACCTTGCTTTTCTTTGGAAACTATGCTTCATGGATTACATTCTGAATGTTGTGGTTCTTTTTCTCCTTTGAAAATCTTTCTCAGGGTCTACCAAAAAAAAAAAAAAATCCCCATAGTAACTAGGTCTATTTTATGGGTACCTCTGTATTTGCAGATATACCTAGAGGCAGATCTCAGGGAGGTTCAGAGTGGACATTAGGAAAAAATTCTACACTACGAGGATTGTCAGTCAGAATACACTCCTCAGAGAAGTGCTCATGGCACTAAGCCTGACAGAGTTCAAGCAGCAGGATGATGCTCTTTGACACCTGAATTATTTCAGATAATCCTGTGAGGGAGTTGGGCTCGATGACCCCTGTGGGTTCCTTCCAACTGGCAATATTCTATTATTCTATAGTTTTCAGCAGAGAGGAGTGAATCCTGACCACCACCCAGCCCTGACAGTGGGATTATTTCTCTCTCAGTTCCTTCTGCAGTTTATTTGCTGCACATAAGAAAGGCTCAACATTGCTCTAGCACATTTTCAGCCCAGAAAATGCCTGATGTCTGCCAAAACTCCATAAAGATGTGTAGTAGATATACATACACGAGATGAGCCCAAGCATCCCGAATGACCCCTGCGCTCCAGCCTCCAGCATCACATCGGTGCTGCGGGCGTTGCGATCCCTGAGCACCACTTCCAGGGATGCTCAGCGCTCCTGACAAATCTGCCTCTTGCCTCCGAGCGCTCTGGGAAGCGCAGGGGAGGACGAAGGAGCCGCAGCACCGCTCTGTGGCGGCGGGTCCCTCTGCAAGTGAAGGACAAGGACGCCAGCTGCTCTTCTCCAGCACACCGCTCCAGACCGTGCCTGGCTTTTTGTGGCACCAAGAAAAGCTGTTTCCTCACCGTTTCGAGCCTTTGACCTGCTTCCCTCCTTCCTTCCCTCCCACTCTAATCCATCTGCTGCAGACACCTTTCACTCCCCAGTTTTAAAGCCTTGCACCCCAGGACACAGCAGTGATACTGGGATGCTGCTTCACTGTGCCTGACTGCAAAACACAGCTGTGCTTAATCCTTCAAAAAAAAAAAAAAAAAAAAAAAAAAAAAAAAAGAGAGATTAAAATTTACCTATACATTTCTCTTTCTATCTTTACAAGTTTTTCCATTCCTGACCCACAAATTAGAGAAATATAGGATCACTCCTTACTAAAGATCTGTGACATCAGTTTTTAGATATGACTTACCTAATGGGTTTTGGTGAATTAATAACACAGTACTAAGAGAAATTTTTACTTGAAATTTTTACTTAAAAGCCATGAATCTTTTAAGGCTACTGAAAGATGTGGTCTGCTTCGTAGAGTAGTCACATTGGACAAAGACTGGGTCAGCCTTAAATCCAAATGCAGATGCCCAAAGTCACAGCACTGAGATGAGTTTTGTCACTCAACTTCCATTTCCTTTTACACACCTAAACAGTTTCTATAATATCTCTGCAAACTGAAGACAAACTGATCTCTCAAGAAAAGTTTGTTATCAGTGGTTTTCATCCTGTAAACTGTGGATTTCCCAGGGCTAGAGCTTAATTTTAAGTGTCTAAAAAGAACAAAAAAAGAACAATAACAACATTTTTAAAAGCAAACGAGACACACAAAAATACCCCTAGCTAAATATCAGTAGATATGTGGGCATTACCAAAAACAAGTATGAAAAATCTCTGAGCTGCAATAGAGATCAGTCTGTTTTCTTAATTCTCCACTTTATTCCCTAATTCCCTCTTAGCTGAGAAGAGACTCTATCTCAAATGATGTCCCTGCAGCATCAGCTCCAAGCCAAGCAGATAAATGGCCTTACAAAACTCCCTTGCAGTCAGAAATAGTGTGAATTAGATCAAGATTGGGATAAGGCAGAGATCACAAAATAAGGCTTCTAAGCAAGCCAAAAAGCAAAGTGTTAATGGCCAGGACAGCAATATATAATGAACTCTTAAGAAGAAAAACACATAACTAAGCCACATATTTCCTCACTAGCAGTCAGCTGCATGTTGGTGCTTTAATCAAGTTACAAGGCAGAACACAAGAGTATGAAATCTCCAAAGAACATAATTAGTGAAGATAAACTACATTTTACAATGCTGCCATTATTTTTGCTAGCATCTCATTAATCATTTAATGGTCATTACTCTTTATTTACTTAGCCTTGACAGAGTACATAGCTGTGCAAAAATACCCATAGAATCACAGATTCAGGTGGTCCCTGCCCATGGAGCCAACAAAGCTGTAATTTGTCACTGCTGCCAGTGACCATCAGAAGTTTACATAGGAGGAAATACTGCATATGTCCATCTTCATGGGCAGTTTAAATGAAAGTTGACTTCTGCTGTGATAAATTGAAGATGCTGAATGATTTCCAGGCAGTGAGGAGTAAAATCCTCTGCCAGATTTGGAGAAAAAAGAAGGCAATCATATCGCTCTGTTGTCCTCAGTAGAGGACCGGGCCCCCAAACTGTTTCAAAAAGGCCAGAAAAGATAAAGCTCAGTTGCAACCTGCTGGTCAAGTATAGACAGGCTCTGGGTGTCTCCCTGTGGGCCCAAGGGTCAGGAACAGGCTCACCTGAGCTGCAGAGGAACAAAAACTGCTCTGAAGGCACTGCTGCTGGGAAAGGCATTTACAGTGGCAGTGGCCCTCACTCAAACACAAGGTGACACATTTCCTCGAAGCCTTGAAAGAGGATTGACCCTTGTCCTCTGGATGAATCTTGCCAGGTGGAAGGGGTTTCCCAGTTCAGAGCTGAGAGGTGCCCAAAACAGAGAGTGGACCACAGTCCTCCCATGGTGACCTGGGAAAGCATGGGCGCTCCCACATCACAGGGATGTGACATTTCACCAGTGACTTACTCACCCACCCAGTACCCAGAGAAGGGGTTCATGTGGATCCACTCTTAACTCTGTAAAGGGAAACTGAGGCAAGGAGCACACTGCTTGGTACCTGCTCCTTGTGGCCATACAGTGCTTGTTTTAACCAAACACCCTGTGGAGGTGGCATCCCCATGTGGCCATTAATGAGCCAAGACCTTGGGGGAAAAGACACATTCAGAACTAAACTCATTTCACAGCCATGTCCTGCAGTCTGTGAATGTGCTGGGCCAGTTCTGCATCCTCATTTATCATCCAGCAGCAGAGGCACAAAAATGAGCTGGGTGATGGCTCAGCGACCTGTGGTGCTCAGGGAGTACCCTGACTGCAGCACCCATAAGAGCAGGACAGTGCCTCTAGGTGGGTGTCAGAGTTGCTTGCATTTTCAGGTCAATAGTACAACCCCACGTTTTCAACAAGGGAAAAATAAGTCCTTTTTTTCTTTTTGTGTGCTGTGTGTGTGTGTGTGTGTGTGTGTGTGTGTGTGTGTGTGTGTGTTGTTTTTTTTATGCCCTTACATCATCTAAGGAACAGCTGACCAACCCATGTAATAGTTTTCTAAGTATGTTTTCCCTGAGGCACACATTCAGGACAGAAAAAAATTCAGTCTAGGTAATTAAATAATTTGTCAGTTATAAACAATTGCCAATAGCTCCCAGTGAGGTAACCCATCACCTCCCATGCCACAGGCCAGGAATGCTCCTGCAGGAGCCCTGTGTGTCCTTCCCTGCTGCTGGGAAAAGTGCTCTTGGCAAAGGCCAGTTTCCTGCAGAGCAAGCTCCAGGATGGGTGAAATGTCTGCTCCTGGACACTGGCTTTCCTGTGGGAAAGATGGTCCAGTCCCAGCAGAGGAAAGGGAGCCTGGAGTGTGACCTGCACTGCTGGCCCCTGCTCCCCACCGAAACACAAGGACAAGGACTTGCTCTGGGTGTGCACGGCCACAGAGCCACACCCGCACAGCATCAGTGCTGCTCCGGGGTCACAGGCTCAGGCACAAAACCAACCACGCCTTTCTGCTGAATTTACCCTACTCCAAATGACCAGTTTTGGTGATGAAATAAATCATCCTTGTCCCCAGAGCAAGAGGGACTTCTCACCCCTGTACCCACCACCCTCTCCTGAGGCAAAAAGCCTACAGCTGGTGTATTATTCCCATGAAGGGGCAAGGCAGGGAGGCTCCCTCCTTTGCACTGTGCTCTGCAATGCTGAGGCAGAAGCAAAGGGTGGTTCAGCATGGCCCTCCAAAAGATGCACTGAGAAACAACAGCTTCCAGCATGGTTTTGGATATGCTGTCAAGGAGCAGCTGCCTTCCTCTGAGGATGGTGCCCTTAGAGCTGCAGGCAGCCTCACAGCAGGCTCAGCAGGGTGACTACACTGCTGCTGGGAACATGGGGCAGGTCCACTTGCTGGAGGGCGGGAGATAGATTATTTTAATCCTTGTTTCCTCTTCATTTTCTTGCTGAAGGACATGAGATAGATTGTTTTAATCCTTGTTTACTCTTCATTTTGCCCTAAGAACTGACTAATCAAATGTGATAAGTTTTGAGACACATTTTGAACCCTTGTCCATCTCTAGCAATTTACTTACCTCACCAGGCCTTTCTCTCTTTCACCAGGAAGCTCTGAATGTCTTTCTCTGCAAGTTCAGGAATATTCTCTTTCTTCTACAGTTCAACAACTCCGTGTCTCAGCTCTGAATCTCTGGTGACATCCCAATCACAACAGAGCACAGCAATTACCCTGCAGCATCCTCTACAGACCTGTAACATCCAGGTCAGGACATGGCACCTTGAAGAAGTAAAATTCCCTTGTAGATTGTCCTGTCCAGAGGATGTTTTCTACTCTTTTTACATCTTATTTTCCTGGGCTGTAAGGAACTGTTTAGCCTTTACTATGTTTTTGCCCAGGAGAGCTAGAAAGGCAAAATGATTTTTCTAAAGTAATTTTTCTACAGAGAGTGCACAACACTTTCTGAAGCCGAGTCAGCACATAAATGTAAGCCATTAAATGAGAACCCCAGTGAGTATTGAAGCAGTTGAGAACGGCTGCACCTTGGCTAAAAATCAACTATGGAGTTCAGCCAGGGGTCATGATGCCCTATAACAGCAATGTAGAGGGGTCCTGATGTCCTATAATGGCAAAATGGAAACATGAGCTGGTTAGCCAGGGGTTTTTATTGCTGATGGATAAACATTAACAGGCAATTCACTCACAGGTAAAGGGGAGCACAAATATTATGGTTGGAGCAAATGTATTTCATTAAAGTAACTGTGCGAGTTGCTGTTCAGACTGGAGGAGGTGACATTCAACTCTGATTCATCTGTACATGCCCATGAGGAGCTACAGGTACCTCCTCCCTGCTGATCCTTTCAACATGATCCCATCAAGGCAACCAGTCCTGCAGAGGGAGACAGCATGGGCAGAAACCCCAGTGCTGGCAGATAGTGTACTTCAGTGGAGATAATTCCTCTCTTTTTTAACGAAATAGTTAAAAGTAACACCCTTTTCCCCTCCCCCTTCCCTGAATGCATTTGGAAACCTGAGCTGAGAAGAAATCTGAAAGTGTTTTGAGAGGAAAGCTGGGGAGAGGAAAATTATGTTCAATATGTCAGCAAAACACCTCAGAACTTCCTTGTGTGGCAATGACTTGTATTTATCTGTAAAATGAACTTTTGAGACAAAAACATGATGAAGATGATAACCCAGTCCCATGGGAAAAAAAAAACCCAGGTGCTCTGATGGGGAGCCAGAAGTGCCCCAGTGCAAGAGTTTTGGACATGGACGTCCAAATATCCCAGTATATATAGGATGCAAAGCCAAGAGCAGCCTTTGCCCCCGGGTGCCACTCCAGGCTTTGAAAGCTATCAATTCTCACACCCTCTTGACTGGTCCTTTCAGCCCATTTTCATAGGGAAATCTGAGCTTGCAGCACACGCCAGCCAGGTGTGTGCTCCCTGCCTTCCCCCCTGCCTCACACAGGGCTGGGGACATGCAAAGAGAAGTGGGGCAGCAGCAGGAACACAGATGAGCTCATTTGATTTACCTGGTTGCTGCTGGGCAGTGAATCCCTCCACAGGCTTCAATCAGCAGAGAGCAGCCCTCAGGCACCCACCAGTGGTTCTCCATAGACAGTTACCATCTCCTGGAAGGAGGGACCAGGCACTGCTGGAGGCTGTGACTGCTTGCCATGTGGGACAGCCCTGAAAATTTAAAAACGAGGTGATAAAAAAGGCTGCTGGAGGCTGTATTCATCAGCTCACCAAGAAAAGCTACCAACTGCCTTGGAAGACAACCATTGGGTGAGAGACAGACCTGTGGGAGCCGTGTGCCAGTGGGGAAGCCCCAGCACAGGGTGTTCTCCCTGTCACAGCAGCTTTTCCATCCTCATCCTCCTGCTGACTGGGAGCTGAGCTGCATCCCCTGCCCTGTGCAGCAGAAGGAGGAGCAGAGGGAGACAGGCCCCTCTGGGCAGCCCAGAGATTCCCAGGAGGAGCAGCCCTGGCCAAAAGAGCACGATGGACCGTTTCCGGATGATCTTCCAGTACTTCCAGTCCAACTCGGAGTCTGTCATGAACGGGATCTGTGGGCTCTTGGCCCTGGCAAGTGTAAAGATGTACACCAGCTTTGACTTCAGCTGCCCCTGCCTGCCCCAGTACAACATGGCATATGGCTTGGGGATCATGTTCGTACCCCCCATCATCCTCTTCCTGTGTGGCCTCATCCTCAACAGACAGTCCCTGGTGATGCTGGAGGAGTGGAGGCGACCACCGGGGCGCAGGAAGAAGGACCTAGCTGTCATCAGGTGGGGTTTGCAGTGGCAGTGGCATCCCTCTTCTCACCTCCTGTTTAGCTGTCTTTCTCCAGAGCTGGGATCCTCCTGATAGATTAATTTTCTTGTAAGCTCATCTCCTGAGACCTCTCCCCATGACCCTGGAGGGGCAGGGGTATGGGAAATGCATTTACATCCAGCAGAAATTAAGGCAGGCTCGTTCCATCCCAGCTAAGGAGAGCAGGAGTGCCTCAATACATGGGTTTATGCCACCACCCTGGGAAACTGCATTGCTGCTGCCCTGTCATGCACTCACAGGGTGTCTTCTGGGGCTTCCATGTGCAAAAACATCAGGCATTTCCTTTTAAATATGCAGGTGTGGCATTTTCATCACGGACATTCTTTATCAAAAGCCTCATGATCTCACTCCCTTCACCTGAGTTTTTACTAATTTGTACTGGTAGAAGGATGAGGAGAATAATATTCCATCTGTTGTAAGTAAAGTCTTGTGCAGTACATAGGTTGGCTCAGAGAGGGGCAAGAAAGGCTGCGGAAAAAAGGAGATTTTCCATATTGAAACTTATGAGAAAATAAGTGTGAATATGCAAGACAAGGAAGTGTGAATATGCAAGACAAAGATTGTCCATGGGAGACATAAGGGTGCAGTCAAGGCAAGCACACAGTGAGGGGACTGTGCACTGAGTGCAGGCAGCACACAGAGCACTGCCTTGTGCTAGTGCAGGTTTCACTGAGAGGCAGAACCAACAAAGACATCCCAGAGCAGGAGAAGCATCAGCTGGAGCAATGCTGAGGGCAGCCCTGGGAGTCAGTTCCCTGGGACTGGAAAGACTGCTTGGCACAGGACAGCCTGCATCCCTCAGGGCTCTGGATGAGGAGGAAGCTGCCAGCATTAACCCACTCACCTCTCTCTCTGCTGCTCCAGGTACATGTGTTCCTCCATCATGCAGCGAGCCATGGTTGCCCCTGTGGTCTGGATCATAGTCACCCTCCTGGATGGCAAATGCCTGATCTGTGCTTTCAGTGGCTCCATGGATCCCCAGAAGTTTGTGGGCTTTGCCAATGTGAGCACAGTGCAGGCACAGCAGCTGCTGGCCAAGGTGCCCTGCAAGGATGAGGAGCTCATGAGGAACACCACGTCCCGCAAGGCAGTGACCAGGTACCTGCGCTGCTGGTCCCAGGTGGGTCACTGCTGCCAGAGCCTCTCATGTCGCTGGGGTGACCAGGCATGTGCCATCTGCTCCTGCTCTTCCTTGATTTGCCATCACTTCATTGTGGTCAGGCTGGGAGCAAGGCTGCTCTGTGCTTCTTTTTGCCTCCAAACCTTGCTATCCTAAGTGATAATCTTGAGTCAGGTAGGGAAAAGGAAAGAAATTATGAATGGTTGAATAAAAGAACCAGCAGCTTCTAAACACAGATAATAAAAAAATGTTGTGTCTCCTAAAGCCCTGTTCAGTCAAAAGATCTTTCTAACTGCTAACCCTGCAGACAGGACCCACTGTTTTAAGACCTGTGCAAGCTTAGACAGACAAAAACAGCTTGCTCAGGAGCAATAGAACAGGTTACAACAGAGAGAGGAGCCCTGACTGGCCTCGGCTATTGGTATAGAAGTGCCAGGTGAGGCATTGGGACTGGTGGAAGGTCATTGAAAACAAGACCTTCCTTCTTATCAAAGGGAGCTGCTCATAGTCTGGGCTGTCTTCACACTGCTGTGGGGACTCCTGGGTCCTGGAGTTAGTGTAGGTGACAGAGGAAGATCACTGGAGATAAAGGAAATTCCAAAGGAGAGCACTAAAGTCCCCTTTCCCTGGGGTACTCTTATGCTCATAGCAAATGCCTGTCTGCTCCAGGCAACTTTGCAATCAGTTATCCTTACTGAATGATTCATGCACAGAAAAATATCCCATATTCTCTGGGAAGAAATTATACCAACCCTCTGGGTGTAGTGTGGGGTGCTGGACTACAGGGACAGATGGAAGACAGGAGTCCAGATGCATTACATTTCCCCTCCAGCCACACAAACTCCCTGTCTCACTGATACAGGCAAAGAGCTTTTGCCTGTCCTCGTGTCTGTCTTGCTCCCGTTTCACTGCTTTTCTTATCACACAGGCACTTGGCTGGAGCATTTTGTTGATCCTGATCATAGCAGCTTTCCTTGCCCGCTGGCTCAGACCTTGCTTCAACCAGGCCACACTCCTGCAGGCCCGTCACTGGAGCAACTACATTGACATCGAGCAAAAGATTTTTGAGGAAAGCTGCTGTGAGCACAGCCGGCTCTTTGCTCACAAATGCATCCTCCACTTCTTCGAAAGCATGCGCCAAGAGATCAAACTGCACAGCTTCAGCTTGCCTAGGGAGGGAGAGGGGCATGAAGAAGGAGAAGATCTTCTCCAGGGTATCACAGATCAGGACCAGGTGAACAAACTCCTGAAAATGTGGTACTATGAGAAACCTCCCCTGGATGTCAGCCAGGCACACCAGAGGCATCCCCTGGTGCGAGAGAGATCCCCTCTGCCCTGGGCAGACAACACCAGCACCCGCTCCAAATCCCCCCAGCACACCAGTGTGTAAAGGGGGCTTTGTCCTGCAGACACAGAAGGAGCTTTGCCAAACCTTGGCACAAAGCAAGGACCAGTGGGCCGATGACAGTGGTGCTCATACCTTCCTCCAAATCTGCAAACTCAAAGGCTCCACTCCAGGGCATGCCTAACAAAACCTCCAAAATCAGCTAGTTCTGAGGGTCCAAGGGTCCCAGATGCAGTCACTGTTAGTGACATTTCTCAGCCAAGGGTCCTGTGGGGCACTTTTGTCATATCAAAGAGTTTGCACCTTATTACAGCTGTGATAAAAGTGTTCTGGCTTGAGGAAGGATTAACCACGGCAGCAACATCTGGCTGCATACACAAACCATACACACACAGAGGTGTGAGGAGCTCCTGCCCATTCCAGTGAAATCTGCTTCAAAGGGTTATCAGAACTGACACAGAAATTATTTAATTAGCAACTCTTTTAGTACCATACCAACATATCTACTCAAAAAGGCAAAACCACCTCCTAAGTCTTCCCATCTGCTGAGAGCTCTGGCTGCCCCCAGCCCAGCTGCCAAACTGTTCTGCCTTCCTCTAAAAACCCATCAATACTTCCATGCATTTTAAAAAATGAAATATGGCAACACACTGAAATTCACAGAGCAGCATAACATTAATTGAAGACACCTCTGAATAAGGACTGGATTGGGTTGAATTTGCATAAGGAACAGGAGATGGAGGCTTTGCAAAACACTGCCACAAGGCTATGCTGGGGTTTAGGTAGCTGCTGTAAACACTGGTGCTGAGCCATGGAAAGACACACTGATTCTGCCTGAGAAATCTGAACACAGACTTTAAACACTCCCCTGCCAGGTTTGAGTACAAACTGACCTATCCAGAGGATCATCCTTGAAACACCTATTGGGGAATTTCCATCCATAGTTTCAAAACTGTTTGAATGTAACCTTATATCTGAGCCTTTAATGGTAATTGCTTTCTCACCTGCCTTTTCCAGCCCCCATTGTACATGGTGCCAGTTTGACTGGTACTTCTGTCCAGTGTTGCTGCTTGGATGCATTAAAGTCTTTACTGCAAACTAACCCAGAAGAGACACATCTATTCCTCCAGGCTGAACCTCACACTGATGCCTACTCTGTCTCTTGGAGGGAGAGTTGCAACGTGGAGGGGCTGGGGGGAGCTGGAAGTGAAAAAGAAATATCTCCTTGGGTGTGCATGGATAGGTGGGGCAAACAGGGCTTCCAGGAGGAAAGAAGAGGGTGGGATAGGAGCAGAGGAACCTGCCACCACATTGGGACTAAATCCAAAATGAGAGATCTAAATAAAAGTGCATATTAATCCCCCAAATTGACTTGTCAAGATGATGGCAGGTGGGTCATCTCCACCTCAGGATGTTTGCATGCACAGGCCAGAGAATGAGGATGTACTAGGTAAAACATTGTGAGGCAAAATAACTCCATAGCCCACCCATGGGCAGCTGCACCCCTTTGCCCACTGAGGCCCAGTCAGGAGCTGCAGGGCACAGAGGGACAGGCTGCATAGCTTTTCTTATTTGTATAGCAAAGTCAGATCTGGATGAATCCCTGAGCTCCCTTGGATATGCTAGGAGAGTGCACAGAGCCAGCTGTGGCCCATGCTGGTAGGGGAAAACACAGTGGTCCTTTCTCCAGGAGCTCCTTAGATCCAGGGAGCTTCTGAGCTCATCTTTGAAATCAGCATTGCACTTTGAATTGTGTCTCTGGTTTACTTTTATCAGACACAACATCACATGGCAGCTCAGTTTGGACTCACCATTCCATAGTAGTCAAATTGGGTATTTTCCTAATATGCTCAGAGCTGAGGTCTGTAGCTCCATTTGCATGCTGCTTTCCATGTTCTCAGGTTTTAAGTCATACCAGTGTGGCCACAAAATATGAAAGGCTAAAAGGGAGCAGAGGAACAGATTTGTTATCTGTACCAGGAGGAAGAAAGCAGGAGGGTTTAAGGGTGCTGCCATGGATTTCGAAGATCTTCAAAGATTAACGTGCTGCTGGGAGAGTCTGGTCTGGTCATGGAGTAGCTCCAGTTGGCTGAGGCCATGGGTGTTCATTCCTCACAGCCCCCCTGAGTCTCCTGCCGTGTTTCCTTCTAAAGACCAAGAACTCTTCTCCATTGTGGAAGTGGTGTCTGGCACCCCATGACAGGACAAGAGGCAATAAACCCAAAATGCAGGAAAATTCCATTTAAACAGAAGAAAACATTGATTTTGAAGGTGATTGAAAGGCTTGCCCAGAAAGTCTATGGCATCTCCAACTATCAAAAAAATCTCCAGAGGTCTCTTCCCACCAGCTCTATTAAGAGTGTGTACCCTCCTGTGGAAATTGGGGCAGAGAGGGTCATTGACACACTTTAGCAGTTGTCTGTCTCTCAGGGCTGTTGTGATGCCTGACCTGCAGATATGTCTGCCACCCTTAGGGATCCTCATCTGCCAAGAGCCTGTGAAACAGCAGAGCTGACTGCAAAGACAGCTTCCCCAGTCACTTCCTAAATTCTCCTGATGGGCCTTGTTACTGCTTTACATCCCACCTTTCTGTCTGTCTTGGTGTGCAGGGGCAGGACTGGGTCCAGGGAGGAACTTGGGCACGTACCATCTCTTTCAGGACAGGGGTTCCACAACACAAATGAGTTGGGATTTGGGAGGAATCATCAGCTCTGCCTTCCATTGCAAGTCAGTTAGAGTGAACTTTCTGTTGGGAAGCTCACGAAAACAAAGTCCTTCCTAACAAGGCAACATGGAAAGAAAGACCCAGGCGTTGTCTTCTATGGGCTCTTTTTTGATTCCAACTGACCTGTTGTTGGCTTCAGTGAGAACTGTAGTTCTGTACACTAAGCAGACTCAGGCCCTTCATTCATGTTAATAAAAGGCAGGGTTTTCCTGGAGATCAAAAAGCTCTCAGCTTTTTACAAGGTTGATTCACGCAGGCTTTGATGTGAACTGGCCTTCAAAAAGCCACCTGTCAGGTGAATAGAGAAGCCAGTCTGAGCTCTTAGCTAGCAATACAATAGGCCTCATCTATATTCATGCAGCAAAATCTCTTCCCATTTGATGAGATCATGCAATTAACCTCTCCACAGCAGGCAGAGCTAAGACTGCTCAGGTATTACCCACATGCTCACCTCTGCGGTGGCAGCTCAGGGTGAGCTCAGCATAATCAGCTGAACCCCAGGACTGGGACTGGTGCAGGCAGACTCAGAACCTGCAGCACTGACTAATGGCCAAAACGCCTGGTGTGACTTCCTAGCTTGGCACTGGTACACACTGCAAAACCTTGGGGGAAAGTATCTCTCCTGTGTCTTCCATGTGCCACCCACCTACGTACAGCTTCCCTTGGTGACGTGTCCCACAGCCACCACTGCAGTCACACTGGTGCCCAGTCAGATGTATCTTGATCCTCACATCAACACTCAGGTGGTGCCTGGACAGGGACGACTGAGCAATTGTCACCATCTGTTTTACAGCCACCTGTAGCCCGTGTAATCCCCCATCTTTTAGCCAGCTTGAGGGAGCAACCGAGTGCACCAAGGCTGCTTTGTGAACTGGGAACTGAGTGCAGGAGAACACCATCAACACCATCCACTTCTTTTAGATTTGAGCTGTGGAAGCCAAGTCCAGCCTAAGTGTTACCTCTCCTTCCTCTGCCTTTCTTTTTCTTTTCCCTTCCCTCTGCAGAATAAAAAAGAAGGTATTTCCCAGTGAAGCTGGACCAGAAGTAGGGGCTGGCAGACCTGCAAGGTCCTTGCCTGAGATGCTGCTGAGGCAAGGCAAATACACAGAGGAAGGGGGAAGCTCTGGAATACAGTTTTTCCATGTGTGCCAGCACTGCAGAGGTGGGGTGTCCTGTTCAGTCCTGGGAGGAGCACCCACCCCCTGCATTTGCAAACAGGTTCACAGAGGCCAATCAGCCAACTCTGCCCAGGGCACAAAGTGATCTGGGGAGGACACAGCCATGGTAACACCTGCACCCTCCAGCAAAGAGAGCTGGTGGCTGGGAACTGCAAAAATGGGGATGTGGAGAAGCATGAAATCAGGTTTTACAAACCAGAAACAACCCAGGTCCCAGATCCAAAGAGCAGGAGGAAGCAAACTCTAAATTTTTCTAGGCAGCAAAATCAGCAGAAAAAAAAGTTATTTTTCTGCTTTAAATAGTGGGATTGTAAGAGGGCATGAATAAGTGAATGAAACCGTGGACTGCACAGAAACTTAGTGATGCCATCTTTGAAGAGGAAATCTGAAAGAATGAAATAGACTGAGGCCACAGCTTGGACCCTGGTGGGGGAAGGAATTGAATGAAGATGGACAAGTTTCGGATGATCTTCCAGTTCTTCCAGTCCAACCAGGAGTCCTTCATGAATGGCATCTGTGGGATCATGGCCCTTGCCAGCACCCAGATGTACTCAGCTTTTGATTTCAACTGCCCCTGCCTGCCACACTACAACCTGGCCTATGGGCTGGGCATCCTCCTGGTGCCCCCCTTCATCTTGTTCCTGCTGGGTTTTGTGCTGAACAACAACATCTCCATGCTGGCAGAGGAGTGGAGGCGGCCGCAGGGGCAGCGGGGGAAGGACCCGGCTGTGCTGCGCTACATGTTCTGCTCCATGGCGCAGCGAGCCATGATCGCCCCCGCGGTCTGGGTGTCGGTGACGCTGCTGGACGGCAAGTGCATCACCTGTGCCTTCTGCACCTCGGTGCCCGTGGAGACCCTGGGCAATGCCAGCCACCCCCACCTCTCCCAGGGGGAGATACAGCGGGTCCTCGCCCGAATCCCCTGCAAGGAGATCTACAATGGGCAGCAGCTCATTGCCAACGAAGTGGCCATCAGGTACCTGCGCTGCATCTCACAGGTAAGAGGCACCCTGGCTGTGCCCTCACTGGTGGCTTGGGGTTAGGCACTGCCAGCATGAGCTCTTCCCTCAACACAATCTCCTTGTTGAAATCAAGCTGCAGCAGGAGAGACTGGTAATTTTGCAGGGGTACAAGGTGTTCAG